AGAGAGAGAAGAGAAACCAGGAGAGATGAAACATGAACTGAAACCAGAAGAAAAGGTCCCTTTCAGGAGGTATAAGGGGTCTTCTAGAGAGAGTCTTTAGGCAACAGATTGGGAGGAAGAGGATGTCAGATCACAAAGGGTGTCGATACGATGACTTGCTTCTCAAACACAGAGTGAACAATATTGCACTTAATTTACATACAAGTGATGAGTTGTAAGAGTGGTGAAAATGGCAAATAAATTCTAGGATATTGCATATAAAGAGGAATCATTGTTATTAAATCATTTAGGATGGATGTGTTTCAAATCCAGCTCACAGTTGAAATTGGTTTACAGCTATAGCTGTGGAGTTTTAACAAAACTGCAGAATTGCAACGTATCTGCCAGTGATTTATTTTAAGGATTGTAGGGTGGTTACATAAATGAACCTCAATAGGCTCAACATGTTGTTGTGATCTGAACTCTGGTGATTTCTACTGCAGTTACGTATGCAAGAACCAACAACACGTGTGTATTTGTGTTTGCATATATGCACACAAGAAACAGGGAAATGGCATACACACATGCAGGCTCATTGCCCAGCTCCACAGGCAGCCTTTCTACAAACTGCTCCTACAGGACCACGACATGATTTCTTAACATTAGCAACAGAGTATTTCTTTTCCCTTTGCCTCAGAGATCTCTTTTTTCCTCCAATCTGTCTCCTGTCTGTATGAGAAAAGAAAGACTACACTGCCCAGCACACTCCTGGTACTTGATCTCATTCCAAGCTTTGGGTGCTAATCCCACCACCTCTGTACTGCTTGTCTCTCGGAGCATGTGTTTGTGTGTGTGTGTACAGACATGCACATCTGCTGGTGATAACCCTACACTTGCTGCTTTCCTTGACCCGCCCCGTACAAGAAGGGGACAGGACTCTGGACCACAGCTGGCTCCATAGCCCAGCTGCCAGCATCAGCTCTCACTTCTTTTTCTCCAGATGCTATGTATTGCATTTCTACTTTAAACACATCTCTATATCAACTGCCAGTCTAACCGTCCAAAGACCCTGGTTCCCAAGTGCTCCTGTTCTCCTAACTATGGGAGGATATTCTCCACTGGAATTTGGCAACTGAAACACTAGGAGACACAGAAAAAAACCTTTAAAATCTGTCTTTTTTCTTTGCCTACTTCAAGCAGATAGCTGGAACATCTAAGAAAATTCATCCCAAGCATGAACACTGAGTAATTCTGAAAATACTTGTTCTAAACTAGTTGAGATCAAACTTCTCAAATAGCTGCAATGGCTTTAGAAATGCTTGTTGGCACAGGTAGAGCTGTTAACTCCTCAGCTCTGGAGGGTAGAGCATGTGCAACCACTCGATGACCGCAACAATTCTCCTTGACTCCAGGGATAAGTCATGAAGCAGAATGCTCTTGTCAGTCCATGGGAAGGACTGGATACCCTTATGAATGCAAACATTACAACTGTTTCTGGTTTTGAAAGATCTCTAATTCATCACTAATGTTTCAATGGAATAATAGCCTCAAACCTTGTAGCAATTATAGAATGTGGTTTGGTTTATTTATTTAATGGATAAGTACGAGCTTTTTCATGAACAGAAAGTGATGTTGCACTGGCAGGACAATGGGGAAAATGGAGGAAAGATATTGAAAGCATCGAGCTCTCCTCTGCTGTCTTGCTCTCTCTCTCATACATTTGCCCTCTCTGCTTGCGGTTCCACAGTGGAAGCCATATGGCTTCCAACTCTCTTCTAAGTAGCCACTGCGAATTGCCTATAGTGGAATATTGCCAAAGCCCTTCCTGGTTTAATGACATGGGGAAGAGCGCTGTGCAGTGCTCACCCAGCATGAAGACTCACTGCGTCCTTGATTATGATCCTGGAGCCAGCGAGTGATGTTGGGAATTGAACCATCAGTGCCTCAAATACGAAAGTTGACATGTGCCAACCCCTGCTGCATTCAGCCTCTGTGTGTGGCATATTAATGAGTCCTGAACTTGAGGTCCAACCTTCAAACTTGCACAGAAAGAATTATCCAAAGACAAAAAAAAAGGGTCTTCTTCATTCTGTTTCCCCTCTAACTTTGCCTAGTGATACTAGTTTCATCACTAGGTTTGTTCAGCCCTTAGCCAGTAACTTTTTTTTTTTTTTTAGGCCATCATATTATACCTGTGATACATAATTATAATTTCCCTTGATTTAAAGATTTGAAAAAGTAGCTTGAAAATATACTTAGAACAAACACATTAAGCCAGGAGGGTATATGAAGGGACAAATGGCTCAGTACTAACCCTCATTCATATCCTTATCCATAAATATATGCTAAATGTCGGAGTCAGTATATGGAACTAGATGGAGCTTTCTTCAGTCTGTTTTTGTGTCCCATGACACCAGATAGCATGAACCTGTGATTATCAGTGTGGCAACAGCCTCAGTCTAAATGGGAAAAAGGAGGGTGCTCAGCCTGATGGCTGCATTCCTACACCAGCTCAAGAGAACATTGCTGGGGACCCTGTCGTGGGTGCCGTGGGTGTTAGAAAGAGAGGCCAATACCTGTCAAAGTTGGTGATGCTCTACAACCCCCACCTAAATAACCCAATTTGGAATTGTTCGGTTTTCGTTTACTTAAGATTTCCTCATTTAGAGGAAAGCCACAGCCATCTACAAGTCAGCTGGAACATGGGGTTCATGGAAATTTTGCAGCGTTTCTTTTGGCCTTGGAAATGCCAAGTGTGCAATGAAAGCTGGTCTCTTATTTTCTCAGAAACAGTTTTTCTCCACATGTGTATTTGGCAGCAGAGGCATGACACAGATGAAAGAGTCTCTACATAAGGATGCTGTCTTTCTTTGGTAAGTGTTGCACCTCTGGGGGGAAATTTGACAACCTATGAAAGCTGTGCCCTGCTGCAAATCTGTCCAAAAGTCAGAGAAAGGGACAGCTTGTAGAGGGTGAACAGAGCCAATGTAGAATGTAACTCTACAGGACACCATGTTTCTCTAGTGGTAAGAGGGAAGGACAACACATCATCAGCCCCAAAACCACAGTCTACAGCCTTCTCAGCAACGATAAAAGACTTAACAAGCCTGTAAAAAAAAAAAAATCACATACTGAATTTCTGTCAAGAAATAAAATAAGTTGTGGTCATCTTGATTTCTTCTCACCTTGAAACACTTTAGAAATTTAACTAATCAAATCCCACAGTAATCCCTGATGAAAACCTATGGACAGCTCAGAAAGCTATGGAAGAAAGGTCACAAGATATACCCAGTCACAAATGCTATATGGACGTGCATTATTGGAGGGATCTGGCCTGAGGCATCAAAGCCCAATTTATTCGTCTCAGGTCTGCAAATTCACGTCTTCCATTCCATAAGACAAAGGTGGTATTCTTCAATAACACTCACCTCGCCTATTTGACTCCCAGCTCACTAACAGCCAAGATGCTAGAGCAGACACAACACACGGTGGCAGCGGGTCACATACCGTGACCCCAGCCCATGCCCACTATTGCTCAGTGTTCCTGTTGCAAAGAGCAACACTTTTCAAATACCCCACATCTTTCTCCAGTATCACAAAACTCACTGCAAAAGTACTGTATGGCAAAGTAGCAAAACCAGATGTGAGTGCAGACCCAGATAACGTTTCCACAGTACAACACAGAAGTTGTACAAGGCCACATGAACTATTCTGTTTCTTCCTTAGCTTTTACTTGACAGAAACCAACAAAAAAACTCCCACTAATTTTGGTGGGAATTAGCATCAAATCACTTAACTATGCATTGCCCTAATTATTTCAGCAATCCTGAAATAAAACAGTATATAGTAATTATCTTAAACCAATGCATGATGCAACAGCAGTGGACACACATTCCCTGGACAACCAAATAACTTGATTTTATCAATGATGAAGTTCTCAAAATTACAATGGCAAGTACTACTGTGATAACAAAACCAGGAAGCATTTTTCTTCTATGAATAAGCTGCTCATGTTCACAGACTCACAGAATGGTTTGGGTTGGAAGGGATCTTAAAGACCATTTAGTTCCCACCCCCCTGTCATGGGCAGGGACACCTTCCACTAGACCAGGATGCTCAAAGCCTCATCCAGCCTGGACTTGAACAATTTCAGGGAAATGTTCAAAATGTCAATCAAAAATGTGCTCTTTGTTAAGTATTTCAGAACACAGACTAAGATTTTCTTTAAGAAATGCAGGAGTTGAGTTACCTGTGACTCAGAAAGTCACAGAAGTCTCATAAGACTACAATTGAAGTTGCTGATTGAGCTTCATTGGTCATGTCTCTGTTTCAGCTTATCTAGGTTGGGTACAAACCAGAACCCTGACATTTAGAGTCTAGCACAGACAAAAACATGCAGTAACCAGCTTTGCCATATTTAATAAAACAATAAACTTTGGCTGACCTTTGGCAAGCGTTCGGGGTCACCAGGGTGCCGGGGAATAACCTTCTGTAACCTTTGGAAACCATAGTCAATGGTGGGTTCGTTCAGAGCTGAAACAACAACAAACAACATTGTGATGTGACAAACGCATAGCAAGCAGGCTCTGTTGCACTGTAACAACTGGCAGTGCATTGTAAGACCACGGAAGGATCACAGCAAAAATCCCCTTTTACTGAGATCAGCACTGACTGTGAAGTCTTGGTTCAATCTCTGTTTGAGGTTCGTTCTGAGGCTTTGGTTTAAACAGCAACGCAAACCTTCCCTCTCAAGTTCCTATAAAAAGGTTGGTGGAAAATGTGGGTCTGTTGCATATATCTTCCAAACAGGAAGCAGTTATTATCTCTGAAAGTTGTGATGAAATTAATTTGATAAATATTTTGCACCCCATGTTTCATGTTGCAGTTTTTTCCTCCTTCCATATTATGAAGAAGGTCCCTTGTGATTGGAAGACAAGAGAAGTAACTATTAGGGAGACTCTCTTCTTCCCTATTCTATTATGTATTTAATATGCTCCATGTGCAATGATCACATACAATTTAGCTGTAAACTACAGGCATTTGTCTTGGCAGAGGCTTTATTTTTTTACTCATCAGCCCATCTCAGGCTCCGATCAGCATTGAACTGATGCAAAAGACATGATGAATTAAAAACCAAAAAAATCATCTATGTTTTCAGTTCTTTCTCCAGTCCTTGCCTAGTAGAATGGAGGAGGGAAATGGTGGAAGTGGAACACTTTACTCTTCATGAAAATGCTGGTCTGCCTGCACTAATCGAAGCTCTGATTGTGCCAAGCCTTTAAGCACATGCTTATCTGTAAGCACATACTTAAACCCATTTGCTTTCAGCAACGCAAATTTGAGCATATTATGTTTTTTATATGATTACCTATAATTACAGGAGACTGCATTGAATGACCTTCTAGCTATATTTCCAGTCATATGATCACTTTAAAACTCAGATGTTAGTGAGACTTCAACATGTGCTTAAAATTTCCTAAGTGCTTTGGTGAACTGGAACAACAGTCAAGCATTCTCCAGCATCTAAAAACAAGAGCACATCTTGACTCTCCCATGCCAATAGAGATGATGACATTTTCCACAGCTATTTGTTTGAAATTTTTTCGAGTTAAATTAAAAAAAAAAAGAGAAAAAAATCCAATATGGATTTTGATATTTTTACACTTTTTTTCGTGCAAAGGAAATATAACCTTTTTTTTCCCATTTTTGGGTCATGTTAAAGTTTTCGGTATTTTGCATTAGCTTATTAACAAAAAAAAAAATCCTTGCACAAGGTCTGCCTTCTAAATTATGAATATATCTTGCATCTTACTTTATGATGGTTTTATTATGAACTTTACTATGTGGCTAGAATGATGCCATGTGATTCATGCAAAGAGAGTTAGCAAACTGCATCTCTGTTTCACTTGTGTAAGCACTCTCCTGTGCCTCCATGATGCTTATCCCACAGTAAGTTACACCAGCCTGATCAACATGGCATGATTTGTCCATACTTCCACCTCTGAAGCAAAGACAACATTTCTTCATACTCCTAAGGTTAAAGATCTTTAGCCAGACCATGCTGTTATCATGAAAGTACTATCTAATCGCTGGCTTGGTTTTAATTAATTGGTGTTCCATAAACAATCACACAAAACAGTCCAGTTTTTAAAGACACCATTCCATTCAAATCATTATTTTCAAACCACATTTCTACAGTGGATAGAATCAAAGACAACCAAAGGGTGAAATTTTTATATCCTCCAACTCCATAAGCAGGCCTCATGATGCTACTGCAAATTGAGGCAGAAGGCAGGTGGTGTAGGGGAATCCGGATCTACCCAGCAGCAGGGCAAGAGAAGTGTGTGGCTGATGAGGACTGGCTGGAGAGGCACAACATCCAGCAGAATCTCAATATTTCTCTAATATCAGAAAGAATCTTCTGAGCATATCCTGAAATTACTGTTACAGCATTATGTTAACCGCATTTCAGGCTTTTACTTTCTGGGCTATTGTCAGAAGTATCTTATTTCCCATAGCATCCCCTTAGTGTCCTCTGTTCTTTTTTCATGCATTTTCCTTTATCAGGATTATTTGAATTTGATCTTTTATTTATATCCAGGTCATTCTATGGAAGGGGTGAGAATAAAGCTTTTCTACTGATTGTGCCCTTTTTGGATGGTTGCCCCTTTTTTCCACGTGTTCCCTTTACACCCTGGCTCATGCTGTCCACTTGGTTGTGTAGTTTCACAGAAAATATCACAATACCTGTGTTTGTAAACCCCCAGTTTCATTACCTGTGAGTATCCTTACATGGCTTCTTATTATGGACCCGTTTAGTTCAGACCTTCTTCAAATTTTACAATAAATTAATTTAGTGCTATTTATGTTTATTATCCAAAGTAGCTGTTCTCTGAGAAGATTAAAAAACCCCTACAGTTCTAATTTACATTTCTTTGGCAAATATGTTAGAAGATTTTAATGTGGTTCTGTCAAATGTGTTTCTTCTCTAATTCAGTCTAGTTTATGGCCATTTTCCCTTTACATCCTTTGGGAAAGTAGTTACTAAATTCTGCAATATTATAAATGGAGGCCAGTTCTGAAATCCCCCCAGAGATAGCAGTCATTTTCTCATATCTTCCCACACATTCAACACATTTGAAATCCACAGAGTATTTCCTGTGAGTATTTTATGAACTAAATGACCAAAAAAAATGTTAATTTTATGGTCCAATCTCACAAGGCATCAGGCATCCTCTGAGAGATACTGAAAACTTTCTGCCTCAAATAGCTTCAGCTTTACTTTAGCGGTGGGGAGAGGCTGCACACAGCAATTTGCAGGATTGGGTCCTAAACTGTAGTTGTCAAATATCACTCATTAGTCTGTAACTGTTCAACCCTTTCAATCTTAGATAAAATGGAAAAAAGAAATCTTTAGCTGCCTGAACACCTAACAACAGATTGGATGTTATCAGCCCTCCGTTCCTCAGTTCATTTATAATCCAAGTGCAATGTAATTAGTCATATCTCAAAGAAAAAGCCCTGTTTAAATATTTAACCCCACCTTCAGCGTTAAGGCCACACCAGTTCCCAAGTCAGTAGCTGGCAAACCTCCAAAGAAAAGGTGATAATCTGATCCCTAAGCATTGCAGAAGAGCCAGTGGTCAGGCCACCCTTCGTGGCAGCTCATGGACAAGGTTAGATACCAGCTTCATGCAAGGTTTTGCCTCTGTCCTCAGCACGTGTGAGCCTGGCCTCTGCCTTTGAAGTCCATTCACAATAACGCGTTTCCCAGTGCTCTAATTCAAAGTACATTTTTTTTCCCATGATTGGAAAAAAAGAATCAATAAGGAATACAAACTCTCTATTTGTGTTCTTGACATCCACACATTAAAAACAACCTAACACATACTGTACTTAAAATGCATTCCCATTACCCTAAATTTTAAAAGTACTATTGAAAGTACTACTAACTTTAAAAAACTGTATTAAATTCAAATAGGTCCCAAGGCTAATGGAAGCAATTTGTATACCAACCCAAACTGACTGGCCCACTTTTCAAAATACAGGTATGATAATCTTGTGGTTTTAAAAGGACATTTAAATTGAAAGACTGTGAATTTAGTACATAATTATACCAATAGAACCCTTTAACTTGTCAACTTGTAAATCTAAAAGGCTATCAATCATTTCTAAAGAGGAAATAAACCTTAAAATTCTTTGATTGACAGTGCTTACTTTTTATGTGGAAAAAAAAAAAAAAAGAGTAAAGTGGCCAGAAATCCATTTACAAAAGTACATTGTTTTACATAGGTGAGTAAAAAGCCAATAATTACACCTCCAAAAGACATATAAATCAAAGTAAGTACTTTTCCCTCACTTACATATTTTAAGTTGCAGTAAACTTCAGGTAACTTTTTATTAAAATACTTTTCCAAATGCAAAGCTTATTGAAGCCATTAATAGAGTAGCATTTTCATTTAAGCTAATATAATCATTTTTGCAAATACAAGATTTAAGCCATTTTTCTCCTTCCAAACAATAAACTTTCAGCCTGTCTCTTGTGTGAATTAACTGAAATTACACCCAGGTGTACAAAATCTGTCTATCTATCCTAGTGTATGAGTTAAGGCACAATATTTATTATTCTTACCATTTTATGAATTACTTCTTAAACCCTTGAGGAAGAACTTTCTTTCAAATTAGACTCTAACAGAATAAGCCATGAAGCTTTTTATGCAGCAAGTCTAAAGCCATAACTCACAAAATCCAAGGCTTTTAATTAAGAAAATGCACAATGTCTATGGAAATAAGGATGCGTACATTATATTCATCTTTTTAAAGTCCAACTTATTTTTCAACAGAAATGCTGCTTATGCCTCTGAGAAAAATGTTTCCACCATAACTATAATTTCAAATTCTGCATGAATAATTTTAATAACTAGATGTAGATAATCCACCATCTTTAAAACTCTCTCTTTTTTTTTTTTTTTAACAAGTCATCGGAGGACTTTTTTTAATATTTCACATAATGAATTCCTACTGTGTCAATAAAGCTTTGGTTGTTAATTGAATGACTGTCTGATGTATCTGAGAGAGGAATTTGTTTCTCTGGCCACACTGCCAACTTACAGCAGAATGATCGACACTTAATATCAGCAATTAAAAGGACCTGTTCAAATATCATATGGAATTCGTAGCTTGGGGTTGTGTAGGAGAACCCCTCACCGAGGAAAACTCATTCAGCGAATACACAGAGTAATTGAATTAGACACATTTTAACATTATTATTCGAAGAAAAATAAACACACACTACATAGAAGCATTATGGAAATATTTCAGAACTTAAAACATATCCAGTTAATTTGTTTCCCATGCATTCATGGTTTCATTTATTCCTTTTATTTTTCAGCCCTTGTTTCTTTTTCATTCTTTTTGACCCAAAACCAATGAGAAAGCAGCACTTAGACCTATGAACTTCCCATATGCTTTTCCAGTGAAAAAGGCTGCAAGGAGAGGGAAGAGACTCCAAGGGCTCAAATAACAAAAGAAGA